TTGGGACCTTACCTGTCTGAGTTTCTCTCTCCAAGGTCATCCTCCCACACCCTCAGGCTATATTGTTCTGGGTGGTTATGCTGAAGGCTTGGCCTTCTCGGGGATGGCATCATCTCTTTGAAATTGCCTCCTGGTGGAGCTACACCTGGCCCCCTCCCTTTTAAGCGGCTGCTGGAGATGCTTCTCTTTTGAGAGGCCTTTCAAAACATTATGTTTTGAATATTCCTCCCTTGCTCCTCCACTCCAGTTGGCACCATCATGGGTGCTGCCAATTTTTTAGACATTTTATTGATTTTCCTGTTTTATGTAAGTCTTCCAGAATAGTGCTGTGCACTGATGGGGCAGTATATAAGTCCTAGACATAAACACAAACAAACAAACAAACTGTCCTTTGTAGCTCACTCATCTTTGTCTTCTTGTTTGTTCATAATCTGGAAAAGAAAAACAATCTTTCCTGCTTTATTGGATCCCAAATGATTTCTCAATTTAGAATGAATGAGTCCAAAGGAAGAGAACATTCTTTGTATGCCAGCAGATAAGCTACTGCTGTTAAAACTGAACTCATTACTTCAACAGTCTCTAAATCCAAATTCTTAAGTGACTTCCACCAGTTCACTGGTGTGACTTTCTTTAAAACATCATCAGCAAACGTATATTTCTTGAATGGTTCCCTCTTAGCTCTGAAGTTTATTATAGTTGACATTACAGATGGATAGTGACTGAAAGCCTATGTCACAGCTAACTAACTCCTCTTCCTCAGCACAAGGTTTGATCCTGATACTGGATATTGACAATATTTGTGAGAAAATGAGCTGGAGACAGTGCTTGTCCCATTTGATTTTTTAATGCTTGTAATTTAATTCTGTCAGTGTATAGGTCTGTTTTTGAGTGCTCACATGGTTCCTTCCAGATTTCAACACCATCAGCAATAAAACAGCTGGTTTTTGTGTGTGTTTGTTTTTGTTTTGTCTGCTGAAAGTTTCAGAACTGGGTTTCCGGATGCTCAGCATACATACAACATTTCTCTTAAGGTCAGCGTTGAGGATTTTAGCCATGACAGTGGCATCTAATTTGCCTCGATTTTGCTCAGAAACTGTCATCAGAATAAGCCAGATTTTGATATATTGCTAAAAACAGTCCACTGAGAGTTCCTTCTAATACTGTGTGAGAATGTTAGCTTGGTTCCACCCATTCTTTTCAGAGCTGCTGCTGCTGAATGATTGTTATGGAACTACAGTATTTAGCAATTTCAGTGACATTAATTTTTATTTCTGGAACACTGAAGCCTTTGTTATTAGTTTTGTATTTGCTTTCTGCTCTTCTTGGATACATTTGCAGCACTCTAGATGTTTGAATTTTTGTTCACATGTTATAGCTTTTGTAGCCACTTTTTGTAAGTATTCTGTATGTGCACATTTCTAATGTATCAATTACTTCTGCAAGGAAGATATTCTTGTCTTCTGTTATACAAGCACGTGTGACAGGATCATTGCGGGATTACTCCACTCATCAAGACTTAGGTAACAATTTTACCCTCTGAAGCTGTTGCACATTGCTCCATTTCTTTGTCATACACTTTATCCAGCAGTTTCCCTGCAACATCTGCTCTGCTGGGTGGCCTGTGTCCTGGTCTCAGTGAATGAACCATATTAATGACATGTGGGTTTTCAATTGGACAGAAAAAAGAGTTTGTTGTGTAAACAAACTTACTTTCTTTTTCTTTCTTTCTTTCTTTCTTTCTTTCTTTCTTTCTTTCTTTCTTTCTTTCTTTCTTTCTTTCTTTCTTTCTTTATT